TCAAAACAGGTTCTGCAGGAATATTTGGCCGGTCGACTACATGGAGTGCCGACCGGCCAATTATTGATGGCCGAGAGCTCAACAAATGGCCGATGACCATTCGGACATGGCCGGTGGTGTTCCCACTTGGTCGGTGGTGCTCCACAGTGTCCATGGAGCATACCTTGGGAGTTTTGCAATTTTCAGAAGAGTAGAGCAGGGAAAACAGAGGCAAACTTGTGCATGGCGTTAGATTTCCGAGCAAACTCGAGCACGCATGCATGAGACCCTTTTCCCGAGGCCTTTTACTGCATACTTAGCTTAGTTAATTTGCTTAATTAATTAGGTGGACTGTAATATTTAATTAGCTTGTAGGTTAATTAATTTGTATTATTCTTTTGGTCCCTCCGAGCGAGGGCGAATGTGTAATAAGTGTGCGTGAGTGTGTACATGTCTTCCAACCCCACCTCTTTCTTCCCTTTTATTTACTAAGCTTTCGATGGTTAGTCTAGGGCATGTTTCAACTAGCATACAGTATGATAGCATGTTTTTATCCATTCATTCGTTTCGCATGCACCGGGCTCGGCGCATCATTCTAACTGCATTTGTATTTCAATTCCAAATTGAATACATGTTATCTGTCGCATTTCACATGTCATTGTAGATTAGCCGAGCCTATCATAGTTGCATTTTTCATGTGTTGCATTAGCCATCTTAACATGAACTAGGACCATGCATATGATTACTAACTAGTTTCTGTTTTGGCTTGGAGTACTAGGTAAGTTCTTATGCTTTAACATCCTTGCATGCGTGTGAGCGTTGCCATGACAGCATGATTACCATGAGGTTAGTTGCTTATGTGATATAACTGTTTGAATGCCTGTGGATGGAGGTTGAATTACCTAAATTGGAATAATGCATTAAAACTGTGAGTTTTAAGTCCACTAGATAGTGGCAAAACCATCTTTTCTAAAGCCTACATGAGGGTGGCAAAATTTGCATTTTAGCCTACTTGCGAGTAGCAAACCATTTTGAAAATAAACATGAAATGTTTTGTTCCAATTTAGGCGATTTGGTCTATACTTGTTTGCTGTGCGCATAACATAGTAAATCTAGGCTAATAACCGGAATAAGAGCATATAATGTTTTCAAAACAAAATATCATGGTTAGTAAAGGTCGATCTTTGATCGGGCGAGAGGGGGTGCTCATAGCTGACCTTCCCCAATCGTACCCAAGTTCCCGAGCCGAGGCAACTTTGGTGATGACGGACACGTGGCCTTTGGCACCGAGTCAGGGTTTCTTAAATCCCCCAAAATAAAATATTTAGGTGGCGACTCTGTATCTGGCAAAGCAGTCCATTTTTTGCACTTCTTTCAAAAATCTATTTTTTCTCAAAACGATTTGCCGGATTTGGACTCTTTGGTTCAGATTAAGAACCGTGACAATTTGAGTCCGAACTATAGCAAGCCCAATATGAACAGAACGAGAGTCATCCTCCTGGGACGTTCGGGCGCTTCTACAATATGCGAATCTCATTCATTAACCTCTGTACTCTGGTATTATTCACTAGGTGTTAGCTCACTCTTTATTTATATGTATATAGGTGAGCAGCGGATGTCCAGCTCCAGCCCTAGTGAAATTGTGAAAGAGTACCAAGTTTTTGAAGTTAGCCAAGGTTGCCTCGCGTATGAGGCTTTTGATTTTCCTTTTTGTTTTCTTTTATGGTCATGTGTGACCAAGTTTGTATATAACCTTGATTTTTGCTAAGACTGTTTTTTTGGTTCATCATATGACAATTTCTGAATGATCCTGGACATGTATAGATTGCTTATGTATGTGATATGTGAGTTATTATATGTGTGTGAAAGGTTTTTGTTTTGCTACATATATATTGTAATAACCCTCATGCTATCCTAACCATACACATATGCGTTCACGTGATTCCGTCTTGTAAACTTGCATTTCGAGTCTTGTCCTTGTTTGTTTAAGTGTTACAACATGTTTTGTATCTTGCTTGGTGTGAGTTTAGCCGAGGTCGTTTTCAGTTATCTTGGAACCACTTTGTTTGATCTCCACCATTGCCCTAACATATTGGCCGAGATGTCATTACCCAGGCCGAGGTGTTCATCACCTAGACCGAGGTGTGAATCATCTAGGCCGAGATGTTACCTTTGCACCCAAGTGATCTTGTCCCGGAGAGGTATAACCTAGACCGAGGTGTGGCACATCTAGGCTAAGGTGTGGCACAACTTAGTCAAGTGTTGTCCTTCCTAGCCGAGGTCATCATTCCCTACTTGCCGATGTCTTGATATTAGTCGAGCTCCTTACTCGCCAGAGTGCCCATGCCGTCTTACTTGTTGAACACACTTTGTCATAGTTTTGTCTTGTCACTCAGTCACCTTTTTGTTTAGCACCAACCAGCCGCTGCCACGTGCCTTTGTAGAGGGTTAAGTCAGCCAACAGACTTAGAAATGAATCATTTTGCTATATGTCTTTGGTTGTGAGGAGAGAGAAGCTCTAGAAGAAGAAGAAGAAGTTTAGAGTGAGAGAGTGGGTTTTGAACTTGATTCCTAGAGATCAAACCATTAGATTCGTGTATTGAGGTTAGATTCTTGATCTACTCTAGTCATTCTTATTGAGCATCTAGTTGCATTGCATGATCAAACCCGTTTTGCATGTCATGCATCGATTTAAAGTTGGTTTTAGAAAGAGAAAATGGTGTTCATGTGTTCTTGAAAGAAAGGTCTTGTTTAATCTGAAAGTTGCATTAAGCTTCGTGTTTTTGTGTTTGTTCTCACTAGATCCTTCAATATGGGTACCCAGGTCCATGTTTTTGAACTCATAGTATGAAATCTCAGATTTTGTAATAGCAAATCACGATCTTTGCATTCATCATCCTCATGTTCATGTCCTTCATGTTCATCATGTTCGTCAAGAAAAGGGAAACCCAGATTTTCCCGACTTCATTCCGTTGAGTGTGGCCATCGAGGAAACACCTCGGCAAGGAGGTGTGGGACCTCGGCCTAGACCTGGTAGTTGCCCAGCATGTTTTTCCGAGTTAAAGAATTGTGTTTGTTTTGATTTGACTTAGTTTTGGAGAAATGCCGAGATCATTTGCATGCATGGGAAACTTGTTTGAAAGTTCATTCAACAGACTTTGCCATGTGTTTGTAGGGTTTGGACTTGCCTTGACCCGAACGTCTCAAGAATTGAGTGAGTGGTATTTTTAATAAAGCTATGTTATAATGTTTTGATAAAGTCTCGTTTTGCTCCGTTTTGAGAAAGTATTTGTAAGCATGAATGGTTATTCCTAATTTGGAAAATATATATATATATATTCTTGTTTTGATGACATTCTTGGAAGTCCGTACGTGCTAAGGGACTATAAGCGTTGTAACACAAAGTTTGGAAGTCCGTACGTGCTAAGGGACTATAAGTGTTTGTAGCACAAAGTTTGGAAGTCCGTACGTGCTAAGGGACTACAAGCGTTTGTAGCACAAAGTTTGGAAGTCCGTTACGTGCTAAGGGACTATAAGCGTTTGTAGCACAAAGTTTGGAAGTCTGTATGTGCTAAGGGACTATAAGCGTTTGTAGCACAAAGTTTGGAAGTCCGTACGTGCTAAGGGACTCTAAGTGTTTGTAGCACAAAAGTTTGGAAGTCCGTACGTGCTAGGGGACTCTAAGCATTAGTAGCACAAGTCCTTAGTGTCCGGGGACTATAATGCAACGACACCATTGAATTGAGATATCTCCCTTGTCTTGCCTTGTCTTGTCTTGTTTGCCACTGACGGTTTACCGCGTGGGTCTTGTTTGCCGAGATGTCATCACTTGTATTATAATGATGTTAGTAAGCATCCTTTGAAACTTGATAGACTGGGAAGATGGACTTGATTCATCCATTGGCTTGTAACAACTATGTTATGCATTGTTTGATAAAGATCTTGAATACCAGTCATGCAAACCCCTTTATTTCTTATACCATTCACTGAGTATCCAAGCTCACCCTCTCTATATATATGTAGGTGACGAGCAGGAAGGCGGTGACGCCTAAGTGTGACTCGCAAGCTGTTTTGGGTTTTGTTATGTCGGCTTAACTTGCATACACGTCGGCAGTCTTGAAAATTATGCTTCTCGGCTTATAATGCTTGTAATTTACACATGTCGGCTGAAGAAGTCTTTTGATCAAGATGTAACAAAAATGTATTTTTGTACCTTATTGTATTTGTACCCAAGAGGTAATATTATGTAAAGTTGTATGCTGTACCTTGTAACTTACGCACTGCTCTTATGGACTACTTCGATTCAATATATATATTGCTTCCACACTTGTAAGACCCATATTTTATACTCTGATTGTGTGTGATCCTTGTAAGTTGGCCTTCGGTAATCTCGGATTACTGGCCATCACGGCACCATTCTACTAGGGGCGGTTTGGGGTCGTGACATATATGCCCAGCTCATTGGATAATCTTTGTGTTTTTGCTTCCGCTTTTAGCCACTGATTGGTAAATATGTTTGATTTTTTGCCTAAGGCAATAGGTAATTTCATGATTACTGGCCGGTTATGATCCTAACTTCTTGGGGCTGGTTCGAGTCATGATAGAGTGGCATCAAATAGAGTGTCTAGAAAAAACTTAAGTTGCATTCATATAGTAAATATATGCTTGAATGCATTAAGAATATGTTATAGTGTTTTGAAATATGTGACTATATGAACTGTTGCCTATTTGTTTATGCGTGCTCTTTCTGTCTATGGATATTTTGTACATTGTTTTTGTATGAAATATAATTCAAGTCTCATCAGATAATGGTGAGGACAAGAGCCGATGAGATAGAGGAATTCTCTACTGCCAAGCTAGATAGAATGAAAAGGTTGATATAGGACATGGCAAAAACATTGAAGCAACAACAACAATAGCAACAATAGTGGCAACAATCGCCACCCCCACCTCCAATGCAGCCTGTGCAAGATTTGCAAAATGATGACCGAATAATAGCTCTTACCTAGGAGTTTAAGAAGATGAAACCGCCAACATTCCATGGGGGGGCGGATCCATTAAAGGCAGAGGCTTGGGTCCTCGGCATAGAAAAGTTATTTGAAGTATTTCCATGCCTTGAAGCACAAAAAGTACAGTTAACAACATTTACGCTTGAAGATGAAACGAGGAAGTGGTGGATGTTAATCCGTGAGAATAACAAAGGTATTGATTGGGCACGGTTTTTGGAGATCTTTTATGACAAATACTTTCCGCAATGTGCCCGTGATAGAAAAGTAATTGAATTTAAGGGGCTTAAACAAGGCAATTTGACTGTGGTAGGATACGAGGCAAAGTTTACAGAATTGACCAAGTTCGCACCGCATATGGTTGACACCGACTATAAGAAGGCAAGAAAATTTGAGGGCGGTCTCCACAATAATATTCAAGAAAGAGTGAATGTATTGAAACTGCCTACTTATGTTGATGTGCTGGATTAGGCTTTAATGTCCAAAACTAATATGGCCAATCAGAGTAAACCACTAATTGACTGGAAAAGTAAGAGACATGCTTCTTCTCAAAGAAAGGATCATAGAAAAAGCAAAATACAGGATCTTCAAGCACTTCAGGCTCCACCAGAGATACGACACCAATATATAACCAGTGTGGTAAGAAACATCATGGGGTTTGTTACCGTATCTCTGGGGCTTGCTTCAAATGTGGTAAAATGGGACATATAACAAGGGATTGTACCTAAACTGAGCAACAAAGAAGTGGAAAATCGGCTGCTAGTTTGACCGGATCCATCCCAAAACCAGGGAATACCACAAGGCATGCTGCTACTAGAGACACAATGAGACAAGGGAGAGTCTTTGCACTTGTCCCAAGTGACACACGAAACATAGAAGCCGTTGTCTCAGGTACTATTTCTATATGTAATCAAGATGCTTTTGTGTTAATTGATTCTGGATCAACACATTCCTTTGTGTCTACTACATTTGCATCTAGATTGAATAGACCCCTAGAATCATTACCATATCTACTGTGTGTATCTGCTTCATCAGGAGAATCTGTGTATCTGCTTCATTTATGGATTATGAACCGAATTTTTAAATCCTATATTGATGAGTTTGTTGTGGTTTTTACTGATGATATTCTAATATATTCAAATAGTAGAATTGACATGAATAACATCTAAGAACTGTATTGCAAACACTTAGAGAAAAGAAATTATTTGTCAAACTGAAAAAATATGAATTTTGGTTGAATGAGGTTGTTTTCTTTGGGCATGTCATCAACAAAGACGAGGTTTCTGTAGACCCACAGAAGATAGAGGCAATTGTGAACTGGCCTACACCGACTAATGTAATGGAAGTCTGCATCTTCATGAGCTTAGCTAGGTATTACAGACGGTTTATGAAAGACTTCCCCAAGATAGTTGTACCGCTCACCCAACTTATACACAAGGGATAACCGTTTGAATGGAAAGGGAATCTGCCTTCCAAGAACTGAAAACAAGATTGACTATTGCACTAGTGTTGACATTGCCTTCAGGTATGAAAAATTTTGTGATATTTAGTGATGCTTCTTACAAGGGTCTAGGTCGTGTGTTAATGTAGAATGGAAGGGTAATTGCTTATGCCTCCCAACAATTGAGACCACATGAAAAGAACTACTCGACGCATGACCTGGAGTTGGCCGCAATTGTGTTTGCTTTGAAAATTTGGTGGCATTACTTGTATGGGGCAAAATGCGAGGTTTATACGAATCACAAAAGTCTAAAGTACTTCTTTACCCAAAAAGAACTGAATATGTAGTAGAGAAGATGACTCGAACTGATAAAAGATTATTATCTCTAGATTTAGTATCACCCAGGTAAAGCCAACACCGTAGCCAATGCTTTGAGCAAAAAGTCGACGGGAACTTAGCTTGTTTTCTTACTAAACAAGAAGAAGTACTTAAAGATTTTGAGAAATCCGAGATTGAAGTAGTATTACATGAACTTGGCGGATTGATAGTTGCCATTCTAGATGAACCGACAATAATTAATGAGATCAAATAGAAACAAAGAGAGGATGAGTTTCTCAAGAAGATAATTGATGAGTTTGAAAGGAATCCGAGACCGAGATTTAATGCGGAGAATAAAGTGTTGAAATTCCAAAATAGATTGTGTGTTTCGAACATCTCTGATTTAAAGAAGGGAATTTTGGATGAAGCCCACAAGTCAATGTTTGCAATGCATCTAAGCAACAACAAGATGTATCGGGATTTGAAGCAAAACTATTGGTGGCCTAATATGAAACTGAAAATTGCAGAATATGTGTCTAAATATCTTCAGTGTCAACAAGTTAAAGCTAAACACTTGAAACCGGCAGGTCTACTTCAACCTCTCCCTATTTTCGGAATAGAAATAAGAGCATATAACCATGGATTTTATTGTTGGTCTACCTTGAACCCCGAGAGGTATGAATTCTATCTAGGTTAAAATTGATAGACTGACTAAATCTACACATTTTCTTCCTGTAAGAACTACTTGTGATACTTATAAACTTGCCACTATATATGTTAATGAAATTATCCATTTACATGGAGTACAAGTGTCTATTGCGTCAGATAGAGATTTAAAATTTGTGTCAAGATTCTAGAGAAGCCTACAGAGAGAAATGGGAATAGAACTGAGATTTAGTACTAAATTCCATCTATAAACCGATGGACAATCAAAACGAACCATACAAACTCTAGAAGATATTCTTCGAATGTGTGCCTTAGATTTCAGGGGAGTTAGGAAGATTACTTATCGTTGGCAGAGTTTGCATATAATAACAGCTTCCACTCCAGCATTAGCATGGCACCATATGAAGCCTTATATGGCAGAAAATGTAGATCACCAGTCTGTTGGACAGAAGTCGGGGGTAGAGTTTTGCTTGGGCTTGAAATTGTGCAAACTACTATCGAAAAGATTAAAGTGATTCAGCAAAGACTCAAGACAGCTCAGAGCCGACAAAAGATTTATGCGAATGTTAGAAGAAGGCCTCTTTAATATGATGTTGATGATCATATGTTCATCTGTGTAATTCCAATGAAAGGCAAGTCAAGATTTGGCAAGAAGGGTAAGTTGTCACCCCGTTACATTAGGTCGTTTCAAATTCTGGAGAGACTTGGCCTAGTTAGCTACAAAATTGCTTACCGCCGGGCATAAAACAAATGCATACCGTGTTCCATGTATCGATGTTGAGGGGTTATCTCCGAGATCCGTTTCATGTCATTGATTACCACCGGATAGCTCTTAACAAGAATATGAAATATGAAGAATGGCCAAAACAAATCACTGACCGGCAAATAAAGCAACTGAGAAATAAATCCATTCCAATGGTGAAAGTGGAATGGAAAGAACATTATGAAAGGGAAGTCACATAGGAGAAAGAAGATGAGATGCGACAACACTATCCACATATGTTTCCAATGGAAGGTAACATAAGTTTGAAGAACCAAACTTCCTAAAGGGGGGGAAAATGTGATAACCCCATTCTGTGTTATGCTGTTAATCTTTAATTACGCTTGTGATTATGTGCTTAATATGATTTGGGATGCTAAGCATGTGATTATATGCACTTTTGAATTCATATATGTTCATCGTAGGAAAATCAATTCGATATTCTGCTATAACCTGTAATTGACGGCCGTAGAGGCGACAGAAACCGAAATTAACAGTATCATAATGATTAGCATAGTTTTTAAAGCCTACGATGAAATTTAATTAAAACTTGATTCGGATCAAATTAATTAGATTAAATTGATTAAAACTAAATGAGATTAACTAACCTTAGAAGAGAGTCTTCAACACTTTTTACCAAGAAGCTCTTACTTGGCTTCGACGAAAATACAAGCAAGATGAAAGCTAACCACCTTCTCAACACCAAACCTCAAGAATCATCCAACTAGCTCTACGCAACAATTACCACCACTCATTAGAATTGAGTATGGATTGAAATATCTAAACCAACATCTTTGGATGATAAGAAAAAATGATGAGAAAGTGTATGAAAATGGACCAAAAATTAAAATAAAATAAAATAAATAAATAAATAAACTATATTACATAATCAAACTTCTGGATGGGTGGCTAATATCTAACTCCCTCCACATCCACAAGGTCCCAATTCACACATTTACATTCAACACTAATGAAATATAGTTCTATGAAAGCAAGAAAAAGGTGCAAAATTGTAAAAAAATAGAGAATTCGATCAATTCAATGGATAGGTGATTACCAACATCTTTGGATGATAAGAGAAAGTGATGAGAAAGTGTATGAAAATGGACCAAAAATTAAAATAAAATAAAATAAATAAATAAATAAACTATATTACATAATCAAACTTGTGGATGGGTGGCTAATATCTAACTCCCTCCACATCCACAAGGTCCCAATTCACACATTTACATTCAACACTAATGAAATATAGTTCTATGAAAGCAAGAAAAAGGTGCAAAATTGTAAAAAAATAGAGAATTCGATCAATTCAATGGATAGGTGATTACAACACAATAATAATAAAGTACAAGGCTTGATAATGAAGAAAAAGGGAGAGAAAGTGTAAAATTTCACCTCTTAGAGAGGCGACGAGCTTCCTTGTTGTCAAACTTTACCCTAACACCTTCAAAGTTCTTAAGTGTGTCGTAGAATTCTCAGCCAAGAGCTTCAATGCAAGGTTTAATGGTGTTTAGATGGTGTAAGCAAGAAGAATGGATGTTGAAGGTGAAATAGAAGTATATCGCTCTTCAACAAGTCTCTAGCCATTCGAAAATTTTGTAACCCTAGAAAATGAATTAGAGACATGTTTATATAGACTTTTGGATGAAAATATCTAAGATATTTATGTAAAACTTGCAGAGAAAGCCTAATTTCCCAAAATGTTCTGTACCCGAACAATTAAGTAGGTCGTACAATTATTCATCCGATTGACCACATTTTCATTCATCCATCCATAAGTTGTTATACGACCAATGCGAAAAACATACCGTTTGATCAATAGTGTAAGGCTAGCTGTCACGACCCAAACCCACCCCTATAGGTTTAGCGTCATGACCGGCCAGTAATCTTAGATTACCTCTATTAAAAAAAATCAATTGAATATAAATTATTGGGCTTAGCGAAAGCAAGTTAAAACATAAAGTTATCCATTGAGCTATACATATATGAAAAGACTTCACAGTAAAACTGTACAATCATTCTATAAGTAAGTGTATACATTACAAAAAGTTTTTAAAAAACAAACATCTAGTCCACATATCCAAACTTGATAAGTCATACTTACTCAAAAACCCCTATACCAAAAATCAAACTAAAAGTTCAAAACAAAAGTTCATAACAAAAAGGGGTTTAGACTTTGCTTGGCTCCACACGAGTCCTGGCTCCTTCTCGGAAGCTCTACAAAAGGCTAACCACAGGATGACTCCGAGGCAATCTCTATCCTTGATGCTCAACTTGTTCACCTACATATATATATATATATATATAAATAGTGAGCTAATGTCCAATGAGTAATAACATAATAAAGAGGTTATACGAATGAAGTTCAATAACATTATAAATATCAATTTCACATTTCTAGTCAATCTCGACATCAATAGCCATTTTATTCAAATCTTGTGGCACATCCAATAGAGTAACAATGCTTTAATAACAATGGGACCACGAGGGTCAATCAATGTTCAATATTCAATATGACCATGAAGG